TCCTAAATATTTCATTTTTTTGCTTGCTAATGTGAATAGTCCAGTTTCTCTTATTTCCCTCTCTGTGATTTTGTTGTTTGTGTATAGGAATGCTATTGATTTCTGAGTATTGATTTTGTATCCAGCCACATTACTGAATTTATTTATTGTATCTAAGAGTCTTTCAATGGAGCTTAGGGGGTCTTCTATGTAGAGTATCATGTCATCTGCAAACAATGACAACTTAACTTCTTCTTTTCCTATCTTTACCCCTTTTATTTCTCTTTCTTGCCTAATTGCTCTGGCTAGTACTTCCAGTACTATATTAAATAGGAGTGGTGATAAAGGGCATCCTTGTCTTGTGCCTGATTTTAAAGTAAAGGCTTTCAATTTTTGGCCATTTAGTATGATGCTGGCTGTTGGTTTGTCATAAATGGCCTTTATTATATTGAGGTAAAGACCATCTATTCCAATTTTCTGTAGAGTTTTTATCATGAATAAATGTTGGACCTTATCGAAGGCTTTTTCTGCATCTATAGAAATGATCATGTGATTCTTATTTTTGGCTTTATTGATATGATGGATTACATTTATTGATTTGCGTATGTTGAACCATCCTTGCATTCCTGGGATGAATCCCACTTGGTCATGGTGTATAATCTTCTTGATGATTTGCTGGATCCTATTTGCCAATATTTTATTGAGGATTTTTGCATCCGTGTTCATTAGGGAGATCGGTCTATAGTTCTCTTTTTTAGTTGGGTCTTTTTCAGGTTTTGGTACTAGAGTAATATTTGCTTCCAGGAATGACTTAGGAAGGATTGCTTCCTTTTCAACTTCATTGAATAGTTTGAGGAGTGTCGGTATTAGGTCTTCTTTGTATTTCTTGTAGAATTCTGCAGTGTATCCATCTGGGCCTGGGCTCTTCTTGGTGGGTAAGGACTTAATTACATTTTGAATTTCAGTAACAGAGATTGGGTTATTCAACAGTTTTACATCCTCTTGATCTAGCTTTGGCACTTCATATGCTTCTAAGAATCTGTCTATCTCTTCTGTGTTATCAAACTTTTGAGAGTAGAGGTTTTCGAAATAGGTGTTGATGATCTTCTGTATTTCTATTGGGTCTGTAGTGATTTCTCCTTTTTCATTTCTTATTGCATGAATTTGAGCTTTTTCTTCCCTTTTTAAAATAAGGTTGGCTAGGGGCTTATCGATTTTATTTATTCTTTCAAAGAACCAACTCTTTGATTTGTTGATTCTTTGGATTGTTTTCTTAGTCTCTATTGCATTGATTTCTGCTCTGATTTTTATAATTTCCTCTCTTCTTTTGGCTTTGGGCTTGACTTGCTCTTCTTTTTCTAGCTTTTTGAGGTGTAGCATCAAGTTATTTATTTGTATTTGTTCTGTTTTCCTGATGTGGGAACTCAGTGCAATAAATTTTCCTCTCAGGACGGCTTTCATTGCATCCCACAGATTCCGGTAAGTTGTATCTGCATTTTCATTTTCTTTTAGGTATTGTTTGATTTCTTCTTTAATTTCTTCTGTGACCCACTGATTACTCAAGAGTGTGTTATTCAGTTTCCATGTGTTTGTGGGATTTTTGCAGTATCTTTTATCATGAATTTCTAATTTCAGAGCGCTATGATCCGATAACATGCAAGGGATGATTTCAGCTCTTTTGCACTTGTTTAAATATGTTCTGTGAGCTAATATATGGTCTATTTTAGAAAATGATCCATGTACTGCTGAGAAGAATGTGTATTCTGATGTTGTTGGGTGGAACATTCTGTATATGTCTATCAAACCCATTTGTTCACAGGTATGATTCAGTTCTGTTATTTCTTTGCTCATTTTCTGTCTGGTTGATCTGTCCCTTGGTGTCAATGGTGTATTAAGGTCTCCTGTTACAATTGTGTTACTGATAATTTGAGTTTTCATTTCTGTTAATAATTGTTTTATATAACTGGGTGCTCTGGAGTTTGGTGCGTATATATTTAAGATAGTTATCTCTTCCTCTTGGAGTTTTCCCCTTACGAGTATGTAGCGACCTTCTTTATCCTTTATGGTCATTGTTTGTTTAAAGTTCACGTTGTCTGAAAACAGAATGGCTACTCCTGCCTTTTTTTGGATTCCTGCTGCATGAAGAATTGTTTTCCATCCTTTGACTTTCAGTCTGTGAGTATCCTTCTGGGTTAGATGGGTTTCCTGTAAACAGCATATGGTTGGATTTTGTTTCTTGATCCATTCTGCCAGTCTGTTTCTTTTGGTTGGTGCATTGAGACCATTTACATTAATGGTTATTACTGTTAAATGTTGGTTAATTGTAGGAATCTTATCTCTCTGCTGTTGCATCTTTATCTTTCTGTTCTGTTTAATTATTTGCTTTGCTTGGTGGTTTTTTCCTTTGTGTATCTAACCTGTCTTTCAATATTTTTTGCAGGGTTGGTTTGGTGTTCATGAAGTTCTTCAGCTGTTCTTTGTCATGGAAGTATCGTATTTCACCATCTATTTTAAATGATAGTTTTGCAGGATATATCAGTCTAGGTTGGAAATCATTTTGCTTTAGGATCTGGAATACTTCACTCCATGCTCTTCTTGACTTTATTGTTTGTGATGAGAAGTCTGCTGTGATTCTGATAGGTTTTCCTTTATAAGTGATCTGTCTTTTCTCTCTGACAGCTTTTAATAATCTATTCTTGTGTTGGATTTCTGGGATGGTGATTATTATATGTCTGGGTGTAGTTTTATTTTGGTTATGACTATTTGGAGTTCTATATGCTTCACTGATCCTGATGTCAGTTTCTGATCTCATGCTTGGGAAATTTTCAGCTATTACTTCTCTAAATATCCTCTTGATATCCTTTATGTTGTCTCCTTCTTTTTCATTAATCCCTATCATTCTTATGTTATTCTTCTTTGCATCGTCTTGCAGTTGTTGAATTGTTGTTTCCTGATTCCTTGTTATTTTTAAAAGATCTTTTCTTTCCTGTTCACTAGCTGCGATCCTGTCTTCAAGGTCTGAAATTCTATCTTCACTTTCATTAAGGCGGTTTTTACAACTTTCAGTGGAGTTTTTTATTTCCTGTATATCTCTGTGCATCTGCATTATGTATTCTGTTTGTTTCTTATATTGCTCGTCTAGGGATTCTATCTTTTTGTTTAGTTCCTCCAATTTTTATCTGTGTTTTCTTTAGATATATTTAGAATCTCTTTCATTTCTTTTATCATTTCTTCTTTTATCTGGGATATTATTTCGAGTTTGAATTTCTTTAAAGCTTCCTGGAGTTGCTTGTCAACTTCAGTAGCTATTGTGTCTGATATATGAGGTGGATGGGATATATTTTCTTCTAAATACATTCCTCCTAGGGTTTCCTGAGATGGGCTGGAGGTTTGAGGTTGTAATTTGGTCTTTCGTTTTGTCATTTTCCTATATTTCTGTGTTTCAAGTGTTATTTGAAAGCTTCCTCAGGATCTGTTGAAAATCCCCTTCTATGTTTGCAGCTACTGAGACTCTGGCACCATGCTACCCCAAGCCATTGGGCCTGCAGAACCAATGGCCCTCCTCTGCTTGTTCAGAACTCCGCAGTTCCAGACAAGCTGGGCCTCAGGGACACTGTGCACCCACCTGCCCCTTGGAAGCTCCACAGCTCTTCAATCACAGCCGGGTTAGGGTACTCACCACAGGCCACAGTGCCTCAGGAGCCTGTGATCCCTCCCTGCTTGCAGAGATATCTACAGTCCTCCAGACAAAGGAAGGGGCTTCTGCAGGCACTCCAGATCCACCCAGCTCCTCCTCTGCATGCCGATGGCTAGGCGCAGCTGGGCTTGGGGGATAGTGTAGGCCCGCCCACCCGTCGGGAGCTCAGCAGACCTCCAAGTGTAGCTGGGATGGGGAGGCGGCTGTAGTGGCCTCTAACCCACTGCTCCACTTCACTGCACTCAGAAGCCTGGGGGGTCCGGAACAGTCTGAGATTTGGGCAGACTGTGCTGGGCACTCACCACAGGCCGAGGTGCCTCAGGAACCTGCGATCCCTCCCTGCTTGCAGAAATATTCAGTCCTCCAGACAAAGGAAGGGGCTTCTGCAGGCACTCCAGATCCGCCCAGCTCCTCCTCTGCACGCTGATGGCTAGGCGCGGCTGGGCTCGGGGGATAGTCCACCCAGCCATTGTTTACTGAGCATCACCAAGGACTTGCCAAGGTCACATTGCAAGTTAAGGGCAGAGCTTAGCTAAGGACCAGATTTCCTAGAGACATAAACACAAAATCTTAGAAAATCCCTGAGGTTTTGTATTTGTTTCCCAGAAAATAATTTGGGCATTCATTTAAATGTCGGTGTGTTTAACACTTCAGGAATACACAGCAGTCAAGACAAATAAAGAAGGCACACTGTGGCCTATGTGTGGGCACCTAAAAACTCCTTGGATTTCTCCTCCTCACGGGAGCAGTAGTGATGAGTGGCACTTGAAGGGGCATCGGCAGACCAGTGCAGTGTGTAAGCCTTGGGAGGTGACCGCTGGGTGGGACAGAGGGACAGTTTTAGAGGGCACTATGTAGGCAATTAGAGAAATTTAAATATGACTATTGGAGAAATTTGACGAGTATGGTATGAGGCACTATGAGGAACAGTGGTTAGATTTTTTGCATGTGATAGTGGTGATGTGGTTATGTAGGAAAGTGTCTTTATGTTGGGAGATACAGACCCAAGAGTTTATGGGCCAAATATCATGATGTCAAGATTACTCCACTTTCTTTCAGATTGTTCTCTCTCTCTCTCTCTCTCTCTCTCTCTCTCTCTCTCTCTGTAAATTTAATGTTGCTAAATTAGGTGAAAGTTGAATGAGAGCATGTGGTTCCCCTGTGATCTGGACATGCTGTGTTGAGAGCTGTGTGCTGGGTCTCTGGAGGTAGTATATTCCTTTCCTGTGACCTGGACTTCTTTCCTGTGTGTGGTTGAGTCTTGGTTACCTTTCTGTTATTGCTGAAACAAAATACTTGTTGCCCAAAATGAAGGAAGGAAAGGTTTACTTAGCTTACAGTTTTTAGAGGTCTCAGTCCATACCCAGCTGGCTCCAAGGCAGGGTGACGTGACTAAGGGGCAGTCGTTCATGGCGTCCACAAGCAACAAGAATGAAAAGGGCAAAACAGAGGAAAAGCAGGCCTCCTTTTCCCTCTTATTGTACGTTGATTGCTTGCCTCTGGGTGGGCGCAGGACTCACCCCGCCAATCCCAGGGCTAGGCAAGGAACCAATCACAAATGCTACACTCAGTCATGGAAAGGCCTGCTCCCCATGACTGCATGAGGTTTTGGTGGATGTTTAAACACAAACCATAATAGCGTATATGAGACAGCACATATTTCTGGAGTGTAGGCACAGGATACATAAGAGGGAAAGGTGGCAGTTTGTACTTAGGGATGTATCTGTGACTTGCACATGGTAGATGCTCAAAAAATGAGTATGCATTAATAAGCTCAACAGACACATACAGATTTCATTAACTATTCGATTGTAAAACTGGCCCTCTGGCTGCCTGTTTAACTGTTGGTCTTCTCTACTATGGTGGCGGGCTCCTTTGAGTAGCTGGTCTGGCAATCTGCTGGGGAAGGAGCCAAGGGCACCTGCCAGTCTATCCCAGCCATCCCTCTACCTCTTAGTCACCTAGAACAAAACCTCTAGAAAGGGACGGGTTTGTGTCCCCATGGACCCCACCCCAGTGGAAGTGGGGAGGGGAGTACCAAGGACCAAGCAGTGCTTGGTGTACAGGAAGCACTCAGTAAATGTCCTGCAGGTGGCAAGCAACCCATTTGTTCCAGGCACTGTGTGGTGACTTTGTAGTTTTTCAGACCTTGTAATGACTCCCCCTGGATGAGGATTCAGGATTCTGGTTTGGCAGACAAACTTGAGGATGATATGAAAATTTCCATGGAGCTGAGAAGAAAGGGAAAGAAACAGGGGGTGGAGTGGGAGAGAGAGAGAGAAGAGAGAGAGAGAGAGAGAGAGAGAGAGAGAGAGAGAGAGAGAGAGAGAGGTCAGGGAAAAGGGCGGCCAGCCAGGTTGGGAGGGAGTCAACTAGGCTGCTTCACAGCACAACACAGGACAAGAGGGAGCTGCCAGGAGTGGCCAGGAGTGGGGCCAGCAGTGGCGGAGGGCGGGTCTGTGGGAGGAGAACCTCGACCTCTGGGTGGAAAGGAGGAGAAGCAAAGGTCGAGAGGGGGCAGATGGACTGGAATCATCTTCTGGGCAGGAAGTTTTCTTCAGGGGGAGGGACGCGGCTGGGTCTTCTGTGTAGCCCAGGCTGGCTTCAGAGCTGCAATCCTCATGCCTCAGTCTCCCAAGTGCTGAGACTAGAGCTGTGGGTCACCACAGCTGGTTGTGCAGGAAGTTTTGGTAGTAAGTAGACCCAGTCAGGCCTCATCCTCACGGCTGGAGTGAGGCAGAGCAGGCACCAGACTTGAAGCTTCTACACTTGGTGTTCCCAACAGGGGACAGGTGACACGGGGTCCCTATGGGAAATAAGAGAGTCAATGCAGTGTGTATACAGATGTCTTAGCTACTTTTCTCATCTCTGAGACAAAACCAGACTCCTACAAGTTAAAGGAGGAAGGCTTTAATTCAGCTCACAGTCTGTAGAGGTTTCAGTCCATAGTCGGCTGGCTCCATGGCAGAGGGGCAGGCGGGCGGTATGAAGCAGCAAGGGCTCCCCTTTTCCATCAGGGCCACCTGCCTTTTGGTTGTTTCCACCCACAGCCAGGGCAGCCCTCCCATTATCCACATCTAGCACTATAATAAACCAGTCAGTGGACTGATTTAGTTATCACACCCTTAGTCCATATTGAGCACTCCTAATCTGCATTCACACACGCGAGGTCAGTTACCTCCAAAAAAACCCACCTATGAATGCAGGAGGCTTTGGGAGAACATACAGATACATGCAATGGCAAGGAAGTTCAGAAACAGCAGCAGAACTCACCGCCTTTTACTGTCACCATGTGCCGGCAAATCTGACCAATGGCAGCAGCGAAGCACACTTCCCTGAAAGAACTCTGCAGTCTAAAGTCAACAGTGACGAAAAAGGGCTGCGATTGTTCTGGCCTATTAATACAATACAGAGAGGTCTCAGGTGTGCTCACTTGTGTTACATCCAAAGAGCTGCTTATATGAGGTGTGCTAAAAATACACAGTGCAAGTCTGAATTTTAAAAAATGTATTACAGCAAAAGACACACTGCCACTGATGATCACATCTCATATGAGCTAGGGGTTACGGTTGACACCAAACACGGGCCACTTCAGTCCTTCCTCTCTGTGCTCATCGCACCCCGATCTGGGATATTTTCTCTTTTGGAAACGGTTTGTCACACGGTAACTTCACCTTTCATAAACAATTCATGTAATTAAAATGATTTAATTTGTTATATGTTTCGGTAATGTAATATTTTATATCTATTTTAAAATTTACCAGGATGATTGTCTATACAAGACATTGCAAAGCTTCATTCTCTATTTTTATTTTATTATTTTTTTAAATCCCCCTTTTTTCATCCTCTTTCCCTTCCCTGCCTCTCCCTTTGGTCCAGCTCTTGATCTAATTTAAGAAAGATCTATCTCCCTATTTCATATTACCTTTTATTTTGTTCTTTATTTATAGTTTGGGTTTCTCATATAAGAGAAACTGTGATATTTAAGCTTGTGTGTGTGTGATTCATTTCACATATTGGGATTGCATTAAATTTATTCTTCAGTTTTGGAAGGATAGCCATTTTGATTATATTGTTTCTGTTTATCCAGGAACAGGATCTTTCCATTTGCTGATGTATTTTTTGATTGCCTTTTCCAGAATAATATAAATTTTGTTGATGTCAAAGTGCTTTATTTTTCCTGATGTTATTGTGAGTGGTACAGTATTACCTTCCTAATCTTTCTTAGGAACACTATTGAGTTTTGAATGTTGATTTTGTGTCCTGATGCACTGCTGAATTTGGTTATTCTAAGAATCTTTGGATGGAATTCTTTGGGTCTTGTAAGTAGAGGATCATGTCATCTGCACATAATGAGAATGGCTTCATCCTTTCCATAAGTACTCGATTTTTTCTCTTGAATGATTGCACTGGCTAATGTTTCAAGGTCTATGTTGAACAGAAGTGGTGATAATAGCTTTGTCTTCTTGCTCCTGAATTTAGAGGGAAAACTTTCAGTTTTTCTCCCATTTAATGTGATATTGGCAGTAGGTTTGGCATAAATGGCTCTTATCAGATTGAGATAAGGTCCTTCTCTACCTATATTCTTCAGGTCCTTCTGTACCTATTGGTATTTCATCCTGAAGGATGCTGAATTTTGTCAAAGACTTTTTCTGTGTGTATTGAGATGATTATGTGACTTTTGTTCTTGCTCGTGTCTCTACAATGGGTTACAGGTTTTGTTGTTGTTGTTGTTGTTGTTTTGTCTTTTTGAGACAGGGTTTCACCACACAGTTTTCAGGCTGGCTTTGAACTCACTTTGTAACCCAAACAGGCCTTGAACTAACAGCGATCCTCCTGCCTCAGCCTCCCGAGTGCTGGGATTATGGACATTTGCCTCCTTGTCTGGCCTCTGCAATGGATTACATTATTGATTTGCATATTTTGAATCATCCCTGTTTCTCTGGATGTTGTGTTCTATTTGCCAGGATCTTTGTATCTGTGTTCATTAGAGAGATTGACCTGTGTAGTTCTGTGTTTTGGTTGGATCCTTGTTCAGTTTTGAAATTAGAGTAATACTAGCTCCCGGGAATGACTTTGGGAGTACATTGTTCTTTTTAAGTTCATTAAAGAGCTTGAAGAATATTGGTATTCAAATTCCCCTGAAGTTCTCGTACAACTTGGCAGTGATCTTGGCATTTCTTAGGTGCTGGGTGTTTTTTGTTTTTGTTGTTGTTGTTATTACTATTGCTTCCATTTCAGTGCCTGTTGTTGGATTGTTCAGGGTCTCTAAAGATTTTTGATTCAGTATTTTTAATCTCTGGTACTAGGGACCAAACTCATTACCTCACACTTAGCAGGCAAGTACTTGAGCCACTGAGCTAAATCCCTAGACGCTTGCTCAGTTTTGTCTCTAGTAATCTATCCATTTTTTCTAAATTCTCCAATTTATCAGGGTACAGGTTTGTGAAGTAGTTTCACTTATTCAGCAGAGTCCATTCTAATTGCATTGATTTGGGTCTCTTGTCTCTTTGTTTTATTTAGGTTGGCTAAGGGTCTGTCTATTTTATTCTTTCAGAGACCCAACTGGGCAACTCACTGATTCTTTGTATTTTTTATTTTTATTTTTTTGCTCTCAATTTCATTGATTTCTACTCTTATCTTTATAATTTTCTTCCTCCTACTAGCTTTGGGTTAGGATTGTTCTTGTTTTACTAGAACTTTGAGATGCTTGTTAGGTGCTTTATTTGGGCTCTGTTTTTGTGGTGTGGATATTTATAGCTATCAACTTCCTTCTTAGGACTACTCTCATTGTGTCTCATAAATTCCGGTATGTTGTACTGGGATTATTTTTTAGTTCTAGAAGCTGTTTTATTTCTTCTTTGATTTTTTCTGTAACTGATTATTTAGGAGTATTGTTTAGTTTCTGTGCACCTGAATAATTTCTGTGAGTTGTTGTTGATTTCCAGTTTTATTGTGCTATGGTCTGATAATACGAATGGCAAAATTTAAATTATTTTACACTTACTTAAGTTTATTTTATTGATTAGTATATGGTCTATTTTGGACAAGGTTTCATAAGCTGGGTGGAACACTGTATATACTTATTAAGTCCATTTGTTCTAAGGTTTTGTTCAATTCTGATGTTTCTATATTAATTTTTTGTTTGTGTTATTGAGATATTGAGATCTCTCAAAGAGATGTGACTCTATGGGAGAGAGCTTACCTAGTGTGCTTGAGGCCAGGGTTCAAGTTCTAGCACTGATAGGAGAGAGAGAAGCAGACAGACAGACACAGAGACACAGAGACACAGAGAGATAGAGAGAGAGACAGAGAGGAGAGACAGAGAAACAGGCTTGTAATTGTACATGTTTGTGGAAATCAGTGTGACATTTCAATGCACAGTGATCAGGTCAGGATAATTGGTGTATCCACAACTCAAACATTTATCATTTCTTTGTGTTTGGGAACATTCAAAATTTTCTATACTAGATAATTTGAAAGATACAGTTATGGTGGCTTTTTTTTTTTTGAAAAGAGCTTATCTTGGATTGGGGATATAGCTCAGTGACACAGCACTTGCCTAATATGCTTGACATCCTTGTTTATAGCACAGAGTCAGACAGCTCTTGTGACAGGTGTGTGACTGTCATCTTCTTCAAAACATTCTCCCACCCACATTCACTCAATGCTGCTTTGTTGGTGTTGAAACACTACTGTTATGGTGGAATGGAAGATCAGAAAAAGAGGGGAGCATTGTTTGATGGAGAAAATAGAGAAAGCATAGAATACGTGAAGCAGGTTCAAAGAGACTATCAGGAAACTAAAAACTCTATCGAAAACTGGCATAACAGCTTGAAAGAAACTAAGGACAGACTATCTGAACTGGAGGGCAGATTAGTAATATGGGAGAATGAAATGAAAAACTTCTTAAAAGTAACAAAGAAACAAACAGCAATAATCAAAAACTAGAAGATGATAAGAGGATTCATAACTTAAGAATTAAGAACATAAAAGAAGAAGTAGTGACACAAACAAATGAACTACAAAAGCTACTCACAGAAATAATCCAGGAGAATTTTCCTAATTTAGCAAAAGGTAAAGATATTCAGTTGTATGAAGCATACAGGACCCCAGCCACCTACAACCCAAACAGAGCTACACCCAGGCATATAATAATCAAAATTCCAGAAATCCAATATAAGAACAGAATATTAAAAGCCATCAGAGACAAGAAACAGATCACTTACAAGGGAACACCCATCAGAAATACAGCAGACTTCTCGGCACAAACCATCAAATCATGAAGAGCGTGGGGTGAAATAATTCAAGCTTTGAAAGATAATAATATCCAGCCAAGATTGATATATCCTGCACAACTATCCCTGGAAATTGATGGAAAAACAAGGTGCTTCCAGGATAAAGAGGAACTAGGGGAATATGCAACCACCAATTCAACTCTACAGAGAATACTACAGGATATTCTAAAAAAGAAAAATACAAAGAATCCAGAAATAGTGGCAGAGAGGCCACAATGAATGGAGCAGAAAACAAAATGAAGAAGACAAACTGACAACTAATGACAGAAAAAGAGCTCAACAGAAATGAGGCAGAGAAGATTGAATGATAGGAACAGCTATTTTGGAGAAAATGACGTCTTAATAGGTAATACTGATTTAGTATCATCTTGTTTTGAAGTCTCATCAAGCTTTTGTTCTTCTGTCTCCATTGGTCTAAACAGGTGGTATCTTATTGGATTTTATTATGTATGATAGGATAAGCAAAAACTTTTAAAGACAAGGAGATTATACAGAAACCATTGTTCGTTTTCTGTTGGTTGATTCTAAATACCCTGTAATGCTGTCATTCTCTTAAATGGTTTTACATTGTTTTGATATATTTGATGCTACAGTATACGAAGTTATACTCAAAGATTTCAAGGAAAGAGACAATATGGTAACTACTTTTATGTCAGGATTATCTTGTGGTGAAACACTAATCTGCTTAAATGGTTATGTTTTGATCTGCGCTGTTTTGCTGTTATGCCCTCTTTTATCTCAATCTCCACTTCATTATTTACTTTTTTATTTTTATCCTTTTAATTAAGGGAAAAATAAATAAAAAATAGCAGGATATATTATAGTAACCCACTTTGACTTTCCATTATCTTGATTTAAAGCCCTGTATTACTCTCACCATCTTGTTTTTGACTGATGTCCCTCTATTCTGTTTTGCTTGATAGTACCAGGTTCAAAAGTTTAAGCAACAGCTCTGAAGATAGTGGGATTCATTATAAAACCCATTATCGTTGACTATTATCTACTTTTGAAGACCTATAATGTCTCCAATGTTTTGGTTTTGTCGGTTTTGTTCTTTACTGTTTTGTTCAATTTTATTATAACTGATGATATAGGCA